AAGGATTGGCCATAAATAGTACCAAGTGACCAGATAATTTGTGACCTGTATTTACTTGAGGTATTTCTATTGAGATGTCATATGCCTCATATCATGCAGTATTGATCTATTTCACTTGTACTGAGTTTACTGTTGAACTTGAAAGCATGCCTATATTTCTGTACCATTATTTTTACTAGATTGTACCTGCGGAGCTCATCATTTCTTTCAGCCCAGAGGTTAGTCTTGTTACTTATTGAGTTAGTTGTACTCATACTACACTCTGTACCTCGTGTGCAGAACCAGGTGCTTTCGGACATGGACATTATTAGATTTCAGAGTACTATCAGTTGAAGAGTCATCAAGGTAGTTGTTTGGCGTCTGGTGACCTTGTCTCTCTTTCCTTTAGTTATTGTACTATTCCATACTTTCAGACAGTGGCTTTTTATCAGTCAGATATTGTATTCATATTAGATGCCCATGTACTCAGTGACACCGGATTTTGGGAGTGATATATTTGAAATTTTGTGATTTCTTCCGCTGAATTAATTATTTCCTTTTCAAATTTAAAAAAAATGGTGGTTTATTAAAACTTTTGGCTTGCCTAATATTGAGATAGGCGCCATCACGACAGGTGAGATTTTGGGTCGTGACAATGACTCACATGGAAGGGAAAAAAGGCTGTAACTAGCAACCAGCTCGAGATGGAAGCTCAGAAAAAAATTGGAAAACTGCAGGCAAGAAAGGAAAAGAAGAGTATTATGTTGGAGTAATGGGAAGTAGGTTTTTTTAGTAATAGTTTGGGACTTAATTTTTTGTCAAAACAATTTAGTTGGTGATGTAATTTATGGCTTCTACGAGTACATTTACTACTACTCTTTTATTGTTAGGTTGGTGATGACAGTTAGATGCCATAGTATGACTTAGGTGGTAACTTCTTTTGGGGGTTATAATATGCCATCCGTATGTCAATTTAACTGTACCTTAAGGGGTCGTTTGATACGCAGGATAAGGTGGGATAAAGTAAGGGATTAAATTTATACCATCAACCAAACATGGTATAAATTTAATCCTAGACTTAATACTGAATATCCCACCTTATCCCACCTTATCCCATCAAACTTGGAATTATTTTATCTCACCTCCCAGGTGGAATACATTAGTCCTGGGATTATTATTCCGGGATAACTAAGTCCGCGTACCAAACGACCCCTATATTTATCATTTTAAATTAATGGTAATAGTTATTTAATCCGTTTGTTATGTCATTTTAATATCATGTTATATGTATCAACCAATTTATTTGAATCTTAGCTATTGTTGAACAAACCCAGATTTGGATGGTTTTCATCTAGTTGGATACTCAGGTTTGGATGTTTTAATAGATTAGAATCTTCAAACAAATGCAATAGCAATACTCGATTTAGCTATTATAATAGCTTCACCAAAATATTGTTTGATTTGTTCTCAAATTTCTGGTTCAAAACAGACAATTTCCGGTTCAAACTTCAAAACAGACTATTTTAGCAGTAAAGATAGGTGGTGCAAGGAGATTTAACTTTATCTTTCGCCCAACAAAATAACATACAATACATTGCTCTAAAAGTCATGTTCATCATACAACCTAACTTAACTTCATAATACAAAATAGCCCAACACTAGATATCATTTAATTCATCAAACAGGCTTCAATTAAGGTACCAAATAGGACCCGTGATATCAAAATAACTAAGTTCATTTTCTTGGATTTGGTCCTTTCTAGTTGATTTGTAGCCTCTATTTTTTCAACTTTATTCTTCAATAAGTCCCTTTCGAGATAAGCCGCATCCAACATCGACTTCAACATGATTGTTTCGGTCTCTCCAATTTCAATTATGGCCTCCATTGCTTCTACTTTTTCTTTTAATTTCATCCTTTCAAGCTTAGCTGAATCCAATTGTGACTTCAACTTGCAAATACCAGTCACAACTATGTCTGATAGTACTTCATCAACCCATTCGAAATAACCACATGAAGTTTTCTGGAAAAATAACTCAAATGATTTCAAGTTAGAAAAGAATTGAACAATCACAACACGATAATTATATAAATTAACTCACATCAGGTTTAGGACATTTGTAGAATCTCCGACCAGCGTTGCTAGGAGTGTAAGCCGTAAAGTAGTGGGCAGTCATACCGCATAAACACCTCATCTTCGAACCAACTTCTTGAGACGAACAACTATCTTGTGACATTGTTGAAATTAAATGACAAATTTACGGTAACAAAGGTAAGAAATTTAAATGATCGATGGAGAAAAACAAGAAGAAACCAACTACAAATTTATTGTATCATAATAATAGCAATCCCTTGTGTGAAAATCGGAGGAGGAGACAAAAAATTTAAGAGATACCATGAACCCTAAGATTTGGGTATTGAAAAGATGAAGAAAATGGGTCTCTTTGATTTGGGTGTAATGAGATAAAAAAAGGACGAGGAGAATCTATTTAAATGAACCCGTTAAAGGGTTACGGATCAGGTCGCGCTTGGGCTCAAATCAGGTGCAAAGATGGGTAACCAAACGATTATTAAAAAAAAGAAGGAACGGGTGTCTTACGATTGAGCCATGTGTCCGTTTCGACTGAGTCCGTTAGTGAGAGGGTAGATTTATCAATAACTCTAACGGCAAGGATAGAAAAGGTTGAATAGTATAACGAGAGTAAAAATAACTAATATACAATAGTACATGGACATGAATAGCCCTTTTCCGTATGATCTATTAAAATATCCTTATGAGAGAATTTTCTTAGTTAACACATGATACTTATTTTTTTGGTCGTCTAACAATAATTTTTCGGTGATGTACGCTTTCAAGGCTAAACGAATTTATTAAATAAACATAAAAATCAATATGTTAGCTAAATAATGATATGTTCTATTTAATTTAAAATTATCGAAATAACATTTCAAATTCAAAAAAGATATAAGAATTTAATAGATTTTGATATATGAATATTGAAGAACAAAGACATTGACGCATTTCAATAACATTTGATAAGAAAGTGATGGTATACAACAACAACAACCGAGTATAATCCCACAAGTGGGGTTTGGGGAGGGTAGGATGTACGCAGCCTTACCCCTACCCTAGAAGGGCAGAGGGACTGTTTCTGATAGACCATCGGCTAAAGAAAGGAAGGAAAGTGATGGTATAACTCATTATTTAAAGTAAATAAAAATGGAGCACTTCATATTCTATTAAATATAACATCTCATAAGAGAACCAAATATTTCTAGATATTTTTTAAAGAAAATTCTATATAAAGTCTTAAAAGTATATATTAAATTATATATTTACATGTCGGTTTTGATTCGATTTTTTTTATTCAATACCAAATCAAATCAAACCAAACTTAATCGATTTTTTTAATTGGTTTGGTTTGACTTTCGAGATGTTCTACTTAAATTTTAAATATAGTAATTTACACTTGGGATTGCCACGTGTCCCCCACATTAAATTTTTTTAGGCAATCCAACATTTTTTTTACAAACTCCTCTTCCCCATCTCCTCCATTAAAATAATCGTTTTTCTCTGTTAACTCAATGGTCAATATGATTGTCATCTTGTTATATATTACATTTTATATTTTTAGATAAAATTTAAATACTTATATATAGTTTGAGGTTAAAGTAACAAGTCAGTTGAACATACACAATAGGTCCTAAATTTGCGTCAACCTATTAACAGCCTAAGGTATTAAATAATAGCGAAACGTGCGATCTCGTATGTGTATCCTAGAAGAAAGGCAGCTTTGGCCATAGACCATGCCTATTTGTCTCAAGTCAGTGTTGCACATTTGGCCTCTTCTACCAACCTATCCCTACTTACATTATTCACCTAAATAGGAACTCTATTATATGCAAGTTGCACAATGTTAGTACTTTTCTAAACCGTTTGGAAGTTACAAATTTTATATAGCAAATGATAAAAATCAGTGACAAAGTTATGGTCGGTATTAGAAATTTAACATTTTTCACAAATGAATTTTATCAATTTGAATAATAACTCATGCAACTTCTCTATCAATTCTAAACTACCTCTGTCTTCTCACGGATTCAATCATGGGTTCGTGAATTCATTTTTATATATATACGCACAAAAAATAAGTATTGATAAAATTACATATACATTTTAAAATTTATTATTTTTGAATTATAAATCCGTCCTCTGTCTACCTCTAGAACCCATGTTTGATGAGTCACTTATAAAATCTTGCTTGAGATACTAAAGTGGACTTGACAAGGACATTTATAACTTTAGAATATGATACCTTATCTCATTCGTGGGAGGCAACTATGAGGTTGATTTATAAGGATTTGAATTTTCTACTACTAGAACTAGTTTGTTTAGGCTTATCCTTTTTAGGTCACAAGTAAGGGTCCCAAATCCTGATTTTTCATATTTCATTCTAAAGATTATTTTATTTTTTGGGGTAGGAGTTGGAGTGATTGGGAGGGGGGGGNCAATATTGTAGCCAAAAAGGACATGATCTTTCCTATAAAACTTAGTAAATATTTCAGTACCAAAAAGGATTAGTTTATTGCAAGTACTAGTTCTTGCTCTACTAGAATAATGTAAGTCAATTATATCAAGCACATTTTACAAGATTGCCAGCTTTTTCATGAAGAAGTACAGCTGCTCGTAGTTGTGCCTCTTCTTTTAAAACCTTCATTAACCTCTTGTATCTCAAGTAGACAAACACCAACTTTCACCTATCCCAACTGCTAATAATGGGTACCTTCAAAACCTTTGTGTGCTTTCACTTCACATTAATCCACACAATTTAATTGGAATTTAACTTGTACTGACTGACATTATACCAATATTTTACACTATTATTGTATTTTAACACTAATATTGCAAATAAATCTGGCATTATTTTTCAGGTTACTAATCTTACTTTTTATGAACGATTTCCTATAGTTATTTTATAGGTGGCCTGATATAATAATAAAAAAAAAAATTTAAGCAAGTCAATGTATAAAAGTTAAACTCATGACTATGAGTATCTCTATATATGTACCAAAAACTTCTGGTTCGCAGTTAAATTCACTAATAAAGAAGTTGAGTGAGGAATCAGAGTTATGTTGATGTTTCAGAAACTGACTTATAAGCCAAAGTAACTTTACAGTCCCTGAACTAGCAACTGTTTCCTCTCCTATTTAAGTCCATAATAAGGCCAGCTTGCTGCTATGAACTTCCACTAACTCATAACTGTGCAATGAAAAAATGAGTATAACTTTGATAAGTGTAGAAAACCCAGATTTGTTATTGTTGTATGGAGTGGATATGTATGGCATATTTGCCTGGTATGTACACAAATGAAGAGATTTTTTCGTAACCGTGCCTCCTCAAATACCACATTGCATATGTGAATGTTACATAGGACCAAGCGAGTTGAAATGATCCCAAGCTTCCTGCACCAGAAAAAACTTAGCTTTTATGATTCAACAATATAAGTAAAAGATTTAGGCTCATGAAACAATAACTAGTGTGTACGCAGTCTTACCCCTACATTGAGAAGATAGATGGGTTGTTTACGATAGACCATCGGCTCATGTGAAACATAGTCACATCACTTTTTGAAAAGAAAACAATAGTGCACAAACCATGAAATGGCAATAGTAACACGGCATATTACCAACAACAGCAGAATAACAAGAAACATCGCTTAATTTAATAGCATAGCTAAATAATCATAGTAGATTATGAAGACTAGCATGATTTTCTGATAATTCTTTACCAAGAAAATGTATATGACTTGTAATACTCGAGAATGATCAGCATTTCATTTGCATCATAGTTTCATATGCAACTATACACTCATATTATAAAATTAATGTTGTAAGACTTGCTCTAGGAAACGAATTGCTTTATATTTAGTGCTGACATGTCTAAAACCTGTATCAGAAGCTCGGACTTTTGGCTTTGCAAATACATACATGTACCATGCAACAAAATTATACAGTACCTGAAGAATATCAAAAACTTTTTCCGCAATGTATTTCTGGTGAGCCACAGCACCCTCTTGTTGGAGCTTTGTATATAGAGTAACGCTCTTTGATATGCTCTCTTCACTGTGTTGCGGAAGTCGAATATATAGAGAGTGATTAAATCACAACTAATATATCTAAAGGTAGCTAATAAATAGTAAATGAGACAATAATAAAAAGAACACCAGAAATACCAGAAATTAACGAGGTTCGGCAAAAATTGATTTTTGCCTAGTTCTCGGACACAATCAACTCAAACTTTATTTCACTCCAAAAAATACAAGTGAAATACTACAAGGGAGAAAGAAGATTCAAATGCCTTAGGAGATAAGAAGGCAAGTGAGAGATAATTTCAAATGAACAAAACCCTTGCTATTTATAGAAGAGAAATGGCCTTAATAATGTCATGCATGACATCATATTAAGTGTGAACATGCAATGTAAATGCATGAAAAATGCATCTACCAATTTCTTCCTAAAAGGAGGCTTCAAATGTTCACACTAGTTCACATTAATCTTGTCAAAATTCAACAAATCTACACCTTGGCAAGATTTCACTTTTGCAATTTTCTCTTACTAATAAATTTTGATTGTGTCTTCAACTCCAATCTTCAAAGTTTAACAATGTTGATCAAGTTCAAACAATGTTGAAACTTGATCGCAGTCACTACTTTTGTTAGCATATCGGCAGCGTTGTCTATAGTCCGAATTTTCTGCACCATGACTCCACTTTCTTCTATAATATCTCGTACAAAGTGATATCGAACATCAATGTGCTTCGTCCTTGCATGATAAACTTGGTTCTTTGCTAATCGGATAGCACTCTGACAATCACAAAATAGTGTGATATTTTCTTGACCAATATCAAGATCTCTAAGAAACCCTTGAAGCCAAATTGCCTCCTTTACAGCCTCCGTAATTGCCAGGTACTCTGCCTCAGTAGTAGACAAAGCAACCGTTGACTGTAAAGTAGACTTCCAACTAACTGGTGCATTTGCAATAGTGAAAACATAACTAGTAGTTGATCTACGCTTGTCCAAATCACCCTCGTAATCCGAGTCACAATATCCAACCAGATACTCACTATCTTCCTGCTCAAAAATCAATCCAACATCTACAGTATTATAAATATACCGTAGAATCCATTTCAAAACTTGCCAATGCTCCTTTCTTAGATCATGCATATACCTGCTTACAACTCCAATAGCATGTGAAATTGTCACGACCCAAAATCCTAACCTGTCGTGATGGTACCTATCTCAGTACAAGGCAAGCCGACAACATCAATAACCCACGATTTCCTTTAAATTTAGAAGAAAAAAATGTAACGTTTAATACAATACCAAAAATCTAGCAATTTCCGATACAACACTCCCAAAACCTGTTGTCACCGAGTACATGAGTATCTAATATGAGTACAAGTCTGGAAAATATGGTCTATAATAGTTTGAGACCAAATACAGTAAACAAGGAGATAGAGAAGGAGAGACAAGGTCTGCGGAATACGGCAGCTACCTCAAAATCTCCTGAAAATCAACTGCACGAAATGATCAACACCCGCTATGTTCAGGAATATCTGGATCTGCACACGAAGTGCAGGGTATAGTATGAGTACAACCAACTCAGCAAGTAATAATAATAACTAAGGAACTGAAGATAATGACGAGCTACATAGTCATAGTTCACTTTCAGTAGTTCCAGCAAAGAATATACATGCTTTTAAATCCGGCAGTTTAAGTCAAATTAATTTTATACAGTTCAATTTCAAGTAATCCGGATATAAATTCTTTTAGAGATTTTACAACAATGACAGATAACAACCAAGTGCAACAGCAAATGCAAAGCAAGTACAGCCTCTCAGGCAACAATCACTCAACTTATCAACCAAGTGCAACAACAAATGCAAAGCAAGTACAGCCTCTCAGGCAACAGTCACTCAACTTATCATAACAGCTCAACCATTCGGCTCTCAACTCTCAGCACTCATACTCAATGGGTACCCGTGCTCACTGGAGGTGTGTACAGACTCTGGAGGGGCTCCTACAGCCCAAGCGCCATAATCTGCACGGACAACTCACGTGCTGCACGGACAACTCACGTGCTATAATATCCTGCACGGACAACTCACGTGCCATAATATCCTTACCTCACTGACATGCCCTCAGCCTTGCTCAGTCCTCAACCTCTCAAGTCTCTCGGGCTCTCAGAAATCACAAAGATCAGCCCAAACAAAGATAACATAGTATATCAATAAATATCCAGAAAGACAGAGGTATAATACGCAAGAAAAATTATGACTGAGTACAAGACAAAAATTAGCAAATAATTCAACAAGTACGCGACCTCTACGGGTCTCAACAGTACTATAACATAGCCTAAGCATGATTTCTAACATGATTTATAGTCAAATTTCTTCAACACATAGAGATCATATAGCTAACAATAAATTATTCAACTATACAGTTTTTCGGGACGAACCAAGTCACAATCCCCTCGGTGCACGCACACACGCCCTCACCTAGCATGTGTGCCACCTCCAAAATAATCACATGATACCAAAATTCGGGGTTTTCATACCCTCAGGACCAGATTTATAATTGTTACTTACCTCAACCCGTGTACTTATTTATTCCGCTATGCCCTTACCACGAGAATTGGTCTCCGAAAGCCTCGTATCTAGCCACAATTAATTCGATTCAGTCAATACAAATTATTGTAATTAATTTCATAAGGAAATACTAATTTTTCCAATAAAATCTGAAATTAACTCAAAAATCGTCCGTAGGGCCTACATCTCGGAACCCGACAAAAATTACAGAATATGAATGCCCATCCAACCACGAGTCCAACCATATAAATTTCACCAAAATCTGACATCAACTCGACCCTCAAATCTTCAATTAAAGTCTATAAAGATTTCTACTATTTTCAACCCAATCCGTACAAATTTGAACTTAACAATCCTTCCACAACCTTATTGGTATGTATACATAATACTCTTATACCCAAGAATCATACTATTAATCACTCATTTTTACTCCAAACCCGAAATTGAAGGATTGAGGAAAGAAATTCTTACCTCTTTGAAGCGCTAGCAAGATCCTTGTGAAATTTTCAAACCTTGAACAAGAATTGATGGATAAATGACTAAGTCTTCACTTTATCTCTCTAAAATGCTCTCACCTCTCTCTAAAATATCATATTTTGGCTAAAAAATGAGCTTCAAGAGCTATAAATCGAAGTTGGGTCGGGTAAAAAATTAGAAAGAATGGAAGCTCCGACGCAGTTATGCAGTCGCATATGCGATCACATAACAGGTATGCGGTCCGCATACCGGCCGCATAATTTGGTCTCCAAAGCAGGGCGTTACTGACCCGGTCTGCGGTCATTATGCGGTCCACATACTTGTTCTGCGGTCGCATAATGCACCGCAAAACAGGTCTGTAGTCGCATAGTGCATCGCAGATTTTTCTCAAATCTTGCCCTTCTCTTGTTCCACTTTGCGACCATTATGCGGTCCGCAGAGTGATTCTGCGACTGCATAGTGGTTGCAGAAATGACCTTTTTCCGATAGAATTTTCCTTTACACATCGGTGCATTGTTCAACCTAATAAGTCTGAGTCGCGGCGAAACAAGCTCGCCGCGAGAAATTTCTATAATCTTTGTACTAATTCATCTACCTCGGCACTACCAAAACCTTAATTTCCTTAGCAAAATTTCTCCGGGGTCATTACACATAAGTCAACATCCGGTCAACCTTTTCAACTTAAATTCTAAACCTTGGAACTAAGTGCTCCAAATCATTTCAAAACCTCACCGGACCCAAACCAATTACCCCTGGCAAGCCAAATAACAACTGAAATTTACAATTTGAGCAGTAAATGGGGAAACGGATTTATAATACTCAAAACGACCGCCCGGGTAGTTACAGAAATATCAGGTCTTGTGCAAACCATTGCATACATCAAGCTACCAACGGCATTCGCATATGGCACTCTTGACATATACTCTCGTTCAACTTCATTCTTCGGCGACATAGCAGCACTAAGCTTAAAGTGAGGAGCAAGAGGAGTGTTAACCGACTTCGTGTTCTCATTCATGCCAAATCGATCTATTACTTTCTTCAAGTATTCTTTCTGAGATAGATAGAGTTTCTTTGAATGTCTATCTCTTTTTATTTCCATGCCAAGAATTTTCTTTGCCCCACCTAAATCCTTCATCTCAAACTCCTTTCTTAGTTGAATCTTCAATTTCTCAATTTCCTCTTGACTTTTGGAAGCTATCAACATATCATCAACGTATAGGAGAAGATATATGAAGGATCCATCTTCAAGCTTGCCCAAATACACACAATGATCGTATTTTCTTCTTCTGTACTTCTGCCGCAACATAAACTTGTCAGATTATTTGTACCATTATTTAGAAGATTGTTTCAATCCTTAGAACGATTTTTCAAGTTTTCACACCATATTTTCCTTTTCAGCAATTTTGAATCCTTCTGGCTGAGTCATATAGATTTCCTCTTCCAAGTTTCCATGTAAAAATGTAGTTTTTACATCTAACTGAACTAGTTTCAAATTCAACTGTGCTACCAAAGCCAGCAAAACTCTAAAGGAGGAATGTTTCACTACTCGAGAAAATACTCCATTTTAATCAATTTCCTCCTTTTGAGCGTACCCTTTGGCCACCAATCTTGCTTTGCAGCGAACATCTTCTTGGTTAGAAAATCCTTCTTTCTTTGCAAATACCCATTTGCACCCAATTGCTTTCTTTCCCTTCGGGAGATTGGCCAATTTCCATGTGCAATTCTTATGAAGGGACTGCATTTCTTCATTCATGGCAATCCTCCACTTATCATCTTTTGAACTTTGGACTGCATCATTATAAGTGATAGGAACACCATCAGCTACAATTGAGGCTGCACAAGCCACCGTCTCTATGAGACGAAGAGGTTTCTTTATTGTTCTTTTTGGCTTGCTGGTTGCTATTCATTCAAGTTGTTGTTGGGGTTCCTGAGTTGGAATCTCCCCTTCTACTGACTCTTCTTCCAGGGAAAAATCTTCTATTGTTTCCTCATTTTCTCCCTGTGTTGGGAAAATTAATTTTCCTTCAAACTCCACCTGCTTTGAAGCACTATCAGTTTGTTTGACATCTTTAACTGTCACCTTATCTGTTATGGCAGATTCATCAAATGTAACATCTCTGCTGAATATAATTTTTCTTGTCTCTGGACACCATAATCGGTATCCTTTAACTCCAGAAGTAATCTCCATAAATATAGATTTCTTTGCCCTTGGATCCAATTTTGACTCTTTCACATGATAGTATGCAATTGAGCCAAACACATGTAAAAAATTATAATCTTCAGTAGGTTTTCCACACCATTTTCAAATGGTGTCTTGCCTCCAATAGCGGCAGATGGTAGACGATTAATGAGGTGGCATGCATATGTTATTGCCTCAGCCCAAAATTCTTTGCCCAAGCCAGCATTGGACAACATATACCGAACCTTCTCCAGCAAAGTCCGGTTCATGCGTTCTGCCACTCCATTCTGTTGTGGTGTATTTCTGACGGTGAAATGTCTCAAAATGCCATCATCTTCACAAATCTTATTGTAAAGATCATTTTTGTATTCTCCACTGTTATATATGCGAAGACACTTTATCTTTCTGCCTGTTTGAGTCTCTATCATCGCCTTCCATTTGAGAAAAATTCCCAGTACCTCATCTTTGGTTTTCATAGTATACACCCACACTCTCCGGGAAAAGTCATCAATAAAGGTTACAAAATAGTGTTTCCCACCTAATGAAGGTGTTTTGGAAGCACCCCAAACATCAGAGTGAACATAATCCAAAATACCTTTAGTATTATGGATAGCTGATCCAAATTTAACCTTTTGTCTATTTCCCCTTGACACAATGCTCACAAAACTCCAAATTGTAAGTCTTTGCTCCTTTTAACAATCCTTGATCTGATAAAATCTTCAAGGATTTTCCTCCAGCATGTCCCAATCGCATGTGCCATAGCTTGGTTGCTTTTGCCTTCTTGTCATCACTGGATGTCACTTTTGCTGTCCCAATAACTGTACTACTGTGATAGTGGTACATGTTATTATTTCGCCGAATTTCCTTCATTACCACTAGTGCACCGGAGCATATTCTCATTATCTCATTTTTTGCAACGACTTTGAGCCCCTTTGACTCTAAGGCTCCTACAAAAATGAGAATTTTCTTCAATTCCGGTACGTATCGAACATCTGTTAATGTTCTGATCAATCCATCATGGTTCCTTAATCGGATTGAACCAATACCATATGCGGTAAGAGGATTGTTATTCGCGATACGAATAACTCCACATTCCCCTTCTTGAAAATCAATTAACCAGTCCTTGTTGGGACACATATGATAGCTACAAGCTGAATCCATCAGCCATATGTCAGATGGTTTGAATGGCTCAGTTGTAACTAGTGAGAAATTAGAGTCGTCACAATCAGCTACATTTGAATCCATGACAGCCTTCCCATTGTTAGGTTTGGCCTTGTTTTTCAGCTTTGGACAGTCTTTCTTCCACTGCCTTTTTTCTCGGCAAAAGGCGCATTCATCTTTGTTGGGTCTGGATCTTGACTTGGATCTTCTTTTCTTCGTTCTCATATGATTTTGAGAACGACCTCTCATGACCAGTGCTTCTCTTTCTCCACTCTTTTATTTTTCTCTCTTTCTTTGTTCATAGATGTACAAGGCAGAACAAACTTTCTTGAGAGACACTTCATCATTCCCATGAAGTAGAGTAGTTTTGAGGTGCTCGTACTCATCGGGAAGTAAACTTAATAACATTAAGGCCATATCTCCATCACTAAAAGTCATGTCCATATTCTGCAAATCTGTCGCCAACTTATTAAAGCTGGTGATATGATCATTCATTGTAGTACCAGGAACATATGTGAAGCGTAACAATCTTTTTTTCATGTAAAGTTTATTTTGACTGTTTTTCTTCAAGAATTTATCCTCCAACGCATTCCGCAATTTACTTGCAGAAGTTTCTTTTGTGTATGGATACTTTTGTTCTCTTGCAAGGTAAGATCGAATGGTACCACAAGCAACGCGGTTGATAATCTTCCAATCTCCTTCTCCGATATTGTCTGGTTTATTTTCTTCTATGGCAATATCTAGCCCTTGTTGAAAAAGGACATCAAAAACTTCAACTTGTCACATCCCGAAATGTCCTGACCCGTCAAAAATTTTAACTGTAAATTTCGCATTTGACATAATTCTTGTCATAAGCGAAGATGTCAACGGCGTATTACTGACACCCGGTGTGGACTCTTCATTTTTATTATCTCCCATTTTGCTACAAATACGATTTATTTGCTGACACTACAGAACACCAAAGTAATTCTTTTCTGATGTGGAAGTTCAGACTATGCTGCAACCACAGAGCATACTAAGATAGAACATTGGCTCTGATACCAATTGTTGCGGAAGCCGAATATATAGAAAGTGATTAAATCACAACTACTATATCTAAAGGTAGCTAATAAATAGTAAATGAGACAATAATAAAAAGAACACCAGAAATTAACGAGGTTCGGCAAAATTTGATTTTTGCCTAGTCCTCGGACACAATCAACTCAAACTTTATTTCACTCCAAAAAATACAAGTGAAATACTACAAGAGAGAAAGAAGATTCAAATGTCTTAGGGGATAAGAAGGCAAGTGAGAGATGATTTCAAATGAACAAAACTCTTGCTATTTATAGAAGGGAAATGGCCTTAATAATGTTATGCTTGACATCATATTAAGTGTGAACATGAAATATAAATGCATGAAAAATGCATTTACCAATTTCTTCCTAAAATGAGGCTTCAAATGTTCACACTAGTTCATATTAATCTCGTCAAAATTCAACACAGTGCACTTCCTTCAATTAAATCCATTAGCGCCACAGGCTTCCATCCGCTCTCTGGCCATAAAACCTGTTTAAAAATGATTGTGCTGCAACAATTAGCCATTCCGGCCTTGGAAAAAAATCCTATTCCTTTGCATAAATATAACAATAGGAAGAAATTCCCACAAAATTCAAATATCATCATCAACAAAATCGTCAACAGAACTGATGAATTTGAATTTTCTTGATCCTTAACACTGGTTTAAGTTTTAAGGTCATATTGAGGAAAGCCATGAAAAAAAGATGTAAAAGAAGAAACACTCTTATTAATTGTAAGGTTGAGAGCAACGAGCGAATATTTCCTTTCCTCCCTTGTGACCATTGCTTAATTTTGGCATCTGAAGCCTATAATTTAATGTTATGGATGCTTGAATTCAGCAGAAATAAATTACTTGGTTGTCCTCAGATTTGCTATTAGTTTGTGAAGCGTTGCTCTGATCTTCAAATAATTCTTCCACCTACGAAAAGTTAAACTATCTCATCAGTAACACAAATATACACTGAGCCATTCCACAAATGTGCTTCCCTGTTTGATCATAGAAACTTTAGTTGTAAGGATCTGAAGTCATCAAACTGGTAACAAGTTGCAGACTCTAAAATTGTATGTTTCTGTTTCGTCTAACATCTTTTTCCCACTTCTAGTACTAGTACTTGCATTACTTTTTTTTGGGTACAGCATTAAGTTGCAATGCCAAACATCATAAATGCTCACAAACAGTCAATTTCCTTGACTCTGCAATAAACACAGAAGTGAGGAATTGCTTTATGGTATAGAAATGAGTAAACGCCGATGCTTCCAGTACCAACTATTCATTTAACATTTGCAGGTGGAAATGAACTATTGAAATCCAAAAAATAAAGTCCAAATTTAAAGAAATACGCCAATTTAATCAGACCAGTGGTTACTTTGCCACTACAATTTAAAATATGGCTAAACTCTAATAGTCATCCCAAAAGATGGCCAACTCAGCTATTTTTTATTGAATGTGATGCTTGTTTGAACATCATGAAATGAATGTTGTGTGTTTCTACTACATACGATCCAAGGAGTAAGTACAAACTCAGACATTATGACTTCTTTAGATTAGGTTTTTGAATTTATTTAAGGAGCATCGTTCCATTAGTAATCTGGCTAAATATTCAAGGTTCGATTGAGATCGTTCAAGAAATGTTCATAGGATCATGATAGTGGGCGGATCTATAGCCCAAATTATGGAACCCACAATATTTCCGTCAAACTAAATATTTTATGAACATATTTTTTATAATTGGTCTAACACCCATATTTCAAAAAGATTAAATAGTGTGCTTGGTTGAATATTAAATTATTTACCCGGAGAAACATGGATAAATTCATACTTAAAACTTTTTTCTATTTTCTTTTTAGTGATGTATTCACGTTCAAAAAATTCTAGATCCGCTGGTTCAGTGCCACCCAACTCCTCTTATTAAAATGCGTGGCATGTTTGTTGAGCCAGTCTCTGTCGAGCCGCACAAATATATAAGTTTTAATTTTTGCTTGTACTATGTGAAAAATTTATTTTGTATTTTCTTACTTGTTTTTTTAAATCGGGTGTCTGTGTTTTCTTTTTTGGTGTTTGTGTGTGTGTGTGTGGGACGGGGGGGGGGGGGGGGTTTAAAAAATTGGTGCTGTAGATACTGTAATTTATCATCCTTTTATAGGGAAAGAATAGTTTATATGTGCCGAGTCGTCAAGGTAGTTGGCTGCTATTTCGTGTGTATTCTTGAGTTTCAAAATGATAACGATTCTCCTCCTTTAAGATCTATAATTTTGCTTGCCTTCGCTGTCAATTTTGTCTCCAATATTAATAGGATTAGACGTATTGTTTCCGAAATTTGTGAATAGAATTTGAATCTCCTTAACACTCAACAAGAGTATCGAAGGTTACTGCACATATTGTTACTGAACTGTGGAGTTTATGTCCTTTAAAGAAAGAAACAAACAAACTGATAAATACAACAACCCACTATAATCCCACTAGTGGGGTCTGGGGAGGGTAATGTGTACGCAGACCTTACCCCCCTACCCTGGGGTAGAGAGCATGTTTCCGATAGAAACTCGGCTCCTTCCCTCCAAGAACTCCCACCTTGCTCTTGGGATAACTCGAACTCACAACCTCTTGGTTGGAAATGGAGGGTGCTTACCACTAGAGCAACCCACTCTTGTCAAAACAAATTTTGTTGCAAAAGATCTGAATCGGTTAGGCTAGTTTGAAAGTCAATTTGCCCTTCAAGGAGAGAAAGGGCAAACATGATTAAGGAAATCTTTTTGAAAAATATTAATACCCTATATATAGAAAGAAAATGAACGCCAAACGTATGATGAACAAGTAGAGATGTATCACTTGCATTGCATAGATTGCATTTGAAAACTAGAGCACATAATCCATTTTAAAGTTAGACTAAGTGTTAAAGGAAGGAGTCCTCCCATCAATGTAAAATGCACTTACAGAATCTCAGTTTAGTTTATTTCACACGCAATGGGTTCTCAAAATGTAACTTGTGTGGATTAATGGACAGGTAGGGGTCAATGCTAACCCCCACCAAAATGGAGGATTTTAACCCCCACCCCCCAAAAAAGCATTCTTGTATCAATCTAACAATATTAATAACTAGATATTACATGTCTAATCGTCTGCATAAGTCGTTCACAAGGTTACCTCTGGGGACTTCATAGTCAATAGCTGCAACAACATCCTTCAATTTTACAACTCCTTCGCTAAGTTCGCGTTCACCAACAAGTACCATCCAAGGGATCCTCGAATCTCTGGCCCGATCAATATGCTTCATCACTTTTTTATGTATCATGAATTCTGCTTTCACTTTAGCATTCCACAATTCACCAACCAGCTCAGCAGCTAAAGCACTGTCATCACCAAGAATGCTAACGAGAACTTGAGTTTCAGTGGCTCGGATTTCCTGGAAAATTGTACACTTCAGGGAAAAACATGGAGAGAGAGAGAGAGAGAGAGGAGCTTATAAAATAATAGGCGGACGAGAAAAGCACATAAAGGTAGGCAATGAAATGGAGCTAGTACTACAACAAAGTTAGGACATCTTCAGACATGCAGATTGCACTTGCCATTGAGCGGATAAATAAAAAAAGAAAAACCAAGTAAAACAGAACAGTCTCTCAATTGTTCTCCATCAACCCCATTTTCACTCTACATTTTCAGTTTCTTGTGGGAGTACATTCGTTTATTAACTGCATTATGTGCACCATGAAATGCTAGGGACATTCATCAAGTCTTGAGTAGGTTTGTAATAGTATCGGTACTACCGCTTTGTTATCATATTGAATTATGTGAACTGTCTCATTTATAATCTTAAAAGAAGGCTCAAAGATGCTAGAGATGGGACACTTTTATTTACTTATTGATGTGCAAAGAGTAGAGAAGGTGAAAACTACCAAAGTCTATTTCAGAACAAATCAGATATGTTTATTTAGCTACTATCACCTGATTCTTGTCTTTCTGAACCTGTTCCATGATTGCAAACACTCTCTCGATTCCCAGACTAATCCCAACAGCAGGAACCTGCCGTGTGCCAAACATCCCTATTAGATTGTCATAACGTCCACCAGCAGCAATCGAACCAACCTGCAGGCATTTCCAGACCAGCAGTAGTGCTCAGAGAAGAGAAACTTTCATTTATGAACATTTCATGCACTGAAAAATATAATAGGAAGAACAACGAAGTAGGATCAGAGTTATATATTGGAAAATGCCATAATCAAACTACTAGAACTTCACCATCAATTTGATACACAGATGTTCATCAGGGTATAATGATAGGACATTTAAAGAAAACGAGGCTGCACTTGGAGGCTTGGAAACATGCTGTTCACCTTGGAAAGAGTCAATTACCTAGAGTAGCGTTCAACTCCAAACATAGTATGTGAGACAAGAGGAATCCACAATTATGTACACTGGTTACTCCAGTTTAGATTACTTAATATAATGATCAAAGGTACTTGACAATGTTGAGAACTCAAACAATTTATATATAAACTTCTTACATGCCTGAATGCACAAAATCTGAATTGATTATCACCACATCAACAAGCCAAAGTTGCAAAAGCATAGCTAACTGGAACTAAAAACTCCTTAGCACACTGAGAGATCTACCTGAGTAGCTCCTTTAAAGACAGCTTCGAATATGACTCCTGTGTAGTAGTCAAGACCTCTTGCAAGGCTCAAGTCAAAAACGACTCTGTCAATACACCTGGACCTCTCAAGAGCTTTAAACATGATGTCTAATTCATCCAATGCAAGTGAGGATTCATTGTTCTCCAAGAAACTGCGTTCCTGCTTAAGCTTAGATAATAATTCCACAGGAGGTCCCCTCCATTTGACAAATGTACCAATTCTGTCTGATATCTCATCACTTAAGCCTTTCTCATCCACCTGGTACAAAATACAGTGGCATTAGAGTGCTAATGACATGCTCGCTCTGTTTCAAAAAGATACTCCTTCCGTTTCCATTTCACTTTAGATGATGTAGTTTGACTTGGCATAAAGTTAAAGAAAAAATTAAGAAGACTTTTGAAATATGTGGTCCTAAAAGCTTTGTAGGGCCATGACATTTGTGTGGCTATAAAAGCTTCCCATTAAGGGTAAAGTGGGTAAAATGAAAAGTTTAAAGTTAAATTGTTTTCAAATATAGAAATGTGTCAGTTCTTTTTGGAACGGACTAATAAGGAAAGTGTGTCATTTAAATTGAAACAGAGGGAGTAATATTTTTGACAGATTTTTCAACATAAGTCTCTTTAGTATTTCTTTTTATGAAGACATAAGTCTCTTTAGTAATTTGATTAAAAGATCTAGAAAAGCAGTATTTTTCATGTCATTCCTAAGTCCCTTAGGTACATATTGACATCTAATTTCACCCTGAAATTGATCAATGGCCCTTGAAAAGTAAATGGCTGAAATATGAGCAATCTTAAGAGGCAGGAACAACAATGATTTTAGAAAATAGATAATCAAATATTTAAAAAGAAAACTACTCAGTAGGAGAAACTAAAACGATTCACAGATTGCAGTGAGATACTAGAAAAAACCATACGGAGGGAGTAACCTTAAGAGAATCCTTACCTTCTAACATGCTAGAAGTCCACAAGAACATATGAAAAAAAATGATTTATAAGAAACAAAGTTAGAGTTTGCATTGAAATTCGAGATCATCCTGGTATCCACACCCCAAGGAAAAAGCGAGGGAAACATAGAAGAAATTAAACATTTCTTCCGTTCATTATATCATCCTTTTCAATGTTTTAACACCAAAACAGACCAGTCAGTTGAACAGTTCAACTGGGAATCAGTAGCACTGCCGTCCAGTTAGACCAAGTTTTGACTTGGTAAAGAACCTGTGAGCTATGGTTGAACCAAACCAGACAGCATCAATGGGTCATCAAAATTCTCATCTCATTGCTCTCCTGATTGGCTTTAATATTGTAAACACTGCAAGAAAAAAAACTCAAACTACTCTATAGCCTGAAAGTTCTGGAATTTAGAGCACTAAATCCCCCCCAACAAAACAAATATGCGACAAAAGCCAGGGAGGTGAAGGAACATTGGCAGTCCAGCAACGCACAAGAGAAGAAACGAAGTGTAAACCTAGGTTGTGTTTCAAGTAGTCCAACCAAGAGAAAATTGCTTAGGTTATAGGAAGAGAGAATACAATTCATTAGGTGTTTTTGCTACATTAAACAGCGCATGAATCAGCATGTCTAGTCACACATATTATAGACTAGGAGTTAACAACCGAGCCCTGAGATAGCTTTAAGATGACCGAAATGCCAACATCTGGAGAACCAAGAATGAGAGAAACCAAAACCAGCAAGCCAGTACTAAGCAAAGCACCAGTAACTGATAAAATATTGAATAGCTATCTTAATAAAATGTACAAGTTTATGCCGACCTGAGATGATGCCTCACCATTTCTTTTTTTATCTGCTCAAACGATTGTTTATCCAGCTTGTCAATGCTTGAACAAATGGTTCTGAATTTCTCTTGTGGCACCCCGCATATAGCTAACATACCATCAAGCAGCTTTCTGTGATTAAGCTTTACCTGAATAAAAAATAGATGTTTTACATAATTAGTTAATGTCATACACCACTAATAGGACAGATGATTCCCTAAGATTGTATGAGAAACGATACCAGAATGTTTTGGATTATAAGAAACATAAAGAGAATATATACACAAATAAAATTGGTATAACTCCGGGCAGATATACATAGCCACAAAACAACTATGTTGCTCGGACACTCCGAAAATCTTATCGGGTGCGTGTCGGATCCTCCAAAAATAGTATATTTTTGGAGGATCCGACACGGGTGCGGCCTCATTTTGGAGAATCCGCACAACATAGCAAAACAATTAGAAGATTTAAATTGCCCAAATGAAATAGCCAAAAATACTGTGGTAATGTAAGATGATGATTTGAGAGCATGCGCAGGGAGAGAAGGGGGCAGGGGAGCGAGAAAGAATCATAAGACAAAATCATATTTCAAGTGATGGGGACTAAATTGTGTCCTACCAGGATTAATATCATTCCAAGGTCAACTAACAAGTATTGATTGAATTTGGACATGGCTTGAGAACCATTAGAAAGTTTACCTCATACTCTCCAATATCAAGCTCATCTAACAACTCGGTCAAAATCTTTATGACCTCAAAATCAGGCATCATCTTCTCAAACTGACCAGCTATATCAAAATCACATTGGTAGAATTCACGGTATCTACCCTTAGACGGGTTATCTCTTCTGTACACCTTAGCTATCTGATAACGCTTGAAGGATGTCAGACCATTCATTGCTACGTATCTAGCAAACGGAACTGTCAGGTCATAACGAAGAGAGCAAAGTTCTCCCCCCTGCAAACGTTGACGGGGAAAGGGGATTCATCAGTACAAAAAAGATCAGGAAAAATACACAACTCGGATTCTAATAATGAAAATAAAATGCACCTCTTAAACCTTGTGTGCACGTCGCAAATATGTGTATGCGTGCATGCGTGAAGCTCACATGTGACAAGGTGCACCAGCAAATCAGCAAATAAATAGCAGTTTAAACAACTAGCACACCTGATCAGCAAGGTCATAGATTAATTTTGAGTCTTCCCCGTATTTTCCCATCAGTGTCTCTCTCATTTCAAAAGCAGGAGTATCCAAAGCTGAAGCACCATGCCTTTTGAAAACCTCAACTATAATTGAGAATGCTTTCTCTCTTATAGCCATCTGTTCTTTTGCAAAATCACGCGTACCCTGTGACAAAAAAATTGAACATTCAAATTTGATGTTAAATGAAAAGTTAACAATATCCATTTTGTGCACCTACAAAACAAAGCTATAACTATTGATATTCTCTTTTAAGTTGATATGTCAATGACGAGGCGATAAGAATATCAGGACTTAAACTGAAGGTATTTTAATTTCCGAATTAACAATTCTACCTCCTATAACACTGTTCGATAAGGAAACAAATTACCTAACAGAAAACATTGTGAAGGTAAGTTAAAGATCTAGTTCCTCTTTCTGCCAGGGGATGAAACATACAAAATTCAGAAATAAGAGTCCAACTTCAACATAAAAGACTCCTGATAAAATAGATACTGCACAATAAGTTTACAGCACAATGTCTTAGCTTCTTAAGTGATTTAGCCTTTCTAAGTTCTAACCAATATTATTAGCCATAAAGCTGATGCAGAAACTTCCCCACACAATCTTTCTTGGGTCCAAAGGGATTTATAGCTGTTAAGGCTTCATAACTCACACTCTGCCTCTGAATCCTCTCATTATAGGCCGGCCAATTTTGCCATTGCATCACCTAAAACCTAGTGTACATCCTTCAGCATTTCCATCCAGTTGCTGGAAAACCTCCACCAAACTCAACATTGACAGAAACTATTCCATAAGAGAAGGCATTGAGCAAGCGTAACAATTGAATATCACACTGTTTCTTTTTGTTCCTTTAGTAAATCGAACATTAAAGTGTTTAAAAGGAAATTGAGTGAAAGCGTAAGAGTTAGATTACTTCTGTTTTCGATAAACTTGAGACCTTTTTACAAGGATAAACATCAGAACTTATTCAGAAGTAATAAATATTAAAGGAAACATATTCATATTCTAAATGACTGCTGCCAAATTTCTTATTTTCTTGCGCTTTTAAATAGAATGTTTCCATATCTCTTGAGCTATATAGTATTATCAGGTATAAAGGGGCATACACAGGGATTTATTAAAGTTCTTGGACCATTCCAGCATTGTCTTAAGGATTTGGTATCATTTGACCTGGTAACAAAACCAGATTAGCAGGTTTCCAGCATTGTTTTATGTGTAGCCCACATATCTTTTTCACATAAGAAAATAAAGGAGACAGCCACGTATTAAACCAGTTCCCAAATTATCACAGCTACGAATAATTCAATGAGCGGGAAAAAGATAACTCAGTATGGTTCTTACCTTTGGAAGTTTAGGCAACCGCCGGCTCTCATTGCTCTCCACAATATCTTTCACCTTTCTCAGTAATGTGCCAAATCCCGAGTCCTTCGGGTCCAGCAGAGACAAGAAATGGCGAACCAAATTCTCGAATGCCTCAGTCTGAATAGGCATGCTCAGCAGCCTATCCTTCAAAAATTGCAGCAGAGCAGTGGTACCTTTACCAAGAATCTTCTTCTTCTTGCCTCCTTTTTTACCTGCTTTTGCACTGTCCTCGCATACACTCGTATTACCGCTGATAAAGTCTTTTTCTTCGAGCGAAAAGAAAGCAGCTAAGGCCTCCCATGAAACTATTTTCTCTACCATCATCAGTAAGGAGTTAACATCATGTGAAAACTTAACATATTCCTCATCCGAGTGAGCTGAAACCAAAGACGCAAAAACAGCTTTCAGCTGATCAGGTCGAGGACATTCTTTTTGCAGCATTGCAGAAATTTCATCATCTCTGGTGCGCTTCGCTCTGTTATAACTGATGTTGCCCAAATCTTTAAGTGCCACAGCCAATGAAAACAATGTGGTGCACATTGCACTAGCTGTTCCAGAAGATCCTGAATTAGATACAACAGCAGAGTTCAGTTGCACACGTGTGCTGGAGTGCAGGAGCCGGCAAATTTCTCTAAACTTGCCGTGCACAACTGGAACACTAGAAACTGCAAGTTCATCACTATTTTTGTTCACGAATTTAGAACCGTTAAGTAAGATCTTGACGTCAGCAGCCACGGACACGACGTCCTTGGCAGTGGAACCATCACCGGAATCATTCAAGTTGAAAGCTGATATGTCCGCACCCAAGGCCTCGCAGGACAAGGCAGCAACGGCGTCAATAATAACAGACAAAGCTGAACTTCTATGATCCAATATAGCGGAGATTCCAGATATTGCTGCTACAGAAAAATCCCCTGGCGAAACGCCGTCAATAGTATTATCAAACGAAATCGAGGACACGTCATTGAGGATGATATCATAGAGCTGAGTGACGGCAGCGGAAGACGAAGAAGAGAGTAAGAGCTTGTTTAGGAGAACTACAAGAGAAGCTTTAGACTCCTCGGGTGTTAAATTACTGAGTACTGAAAATGCGGAAGATTGTGTAGGAGCATTAGTGTTGTTGCTGGTTTTGGAATTGGAGGAAGATGATACTTTGGAGAGTGCTGAAGAGTCAATTCTCGGGCGACTGAGTCCGTTGGCGATTTCGAAGACGGAGGAGGACGACAGTGATGAGCCTTTTCCACCCACAGTAACCACGCGTCTCTCTTCTGCCATGGAAATGGAAGACTGAGGGTTTGAAAAGAATTACTCTCTTGTTTGGGAAAGAAGGGAATAATGGGGCTTTATTTGGATTTTGGGCTTAGTGGGCTGCTGAAATTGGATGTGTATCCTAGAAGAAGAAAGGCAGCTTAGGCCATAGACCATGGCCATTTGTCTCAAGTCAGTGTTTGCACATTTGGCCTCTTTTACTAACCTAACCTAACCCTACTTACATTATTCACTTAAATAGGAACTCTATTATATGCAAGTTGCACAATAACAGTACTTTTCTAAACTGTATATATTGGAGTTGCAAGTTATGGTCGATTTTAGAAATTTAACATTTTTCACAAATGAATTTTATCAATTTGAATGAATAACTACTGCAACTTCTCTATCAATTCTAAACTAGCTCTGTCTTCTCACGGATTCAATCATGGGTTCGTGAATTCAGTAGCATTGAGATCTAATTTTTTTTATATATACGCACAAAAGATAAGTATTGATAGAGTTAGATATACATTTGAGAACTCAATATTTCTGAATTATAAATCGGTACTCAATCTATGTTTGACGAGTCACTTAAATCTTGCTTGAGATCCTAAAGTGGACTTGACAAGGACATTTATGACTTTAGAATATGATACCCTATCTCATTCGTGGGAGGCAACTATGAAGTTGATTTATAAGGATTTGAAATTTCTACTATTATAACTATAGTTTATTTAGGCTTATCCTTTTTAGATCACAAGTAAGGGTCCCAAATCCTGATTTTTCATATTTCATTCTAAAGATTATTTCATTTTTTGGGGGTAGGAGTTGGAGTGTTTTTTTT